CACATCTATCTTGTTCAGAAGAATATTAACATTGTAATTATTAACTTCACATTAAAAATTGATGCTGTAAAAAATAAGAAATAAGTTCGTATACCACATTACCATGGTGCATGGTAATGTTCAATTGTGACGTTTACCACGAAATGGTTTAGCATGGTAATTGCCACAATAATAAAGTGACACTGATGCCGTACAGATCATATTATTATCATATTATTATTAAATTTAACAAATGTCAAACGTTGAGGCATTCTCTACAAAACTATTGGTTTATTAGCCTCAGTGAAAAAGATGAAAGATTTTCTAAGAAGAGCATTTTTAATTTGCTGATTACCGAAAAATATCTGTATATTTAGACATTACACCAAATTAGCATAAATTTGCATATGAATCATATTTACAAAAATTGCATCTACAAAGTTGGTGATAAAAAAGTGATATTACTGATTTGTAGAGCTGAGTAATACAAGATTCTTGTCTGTTTTCTCATTCAAAACCTTTATTTACTATATATATTCTTAAAAGCATGCATATAAAGCCCATATTCAAATGTACTAGGTAGCCACATGTCACGTGACTTACCGCTTTATAGACGTTCTCAAAAGATCTAAATTGATGATTGTCAGATAATCAGAAAACACTGCACTATTTTCAGCTGTGATTCATGAGACTGGGAGTTACTAAATATATGTTTATATGTCCTGACTGTTTAAAAAAACCGTACGTGTCACGTGAAAGACCAATTAACGGATATTGTTAGCAGCATTTATGACTCAAATTTATCACCGCCCTTTAAATTCACCGCCCTTTAAATGCTAAGCTGTATGATTAAAGTTATTTATGAGCAATAATCAATACTCATCAAGAGAATGATTTCAGTGCCACTACATCCATTCTATAGCATCTCACAGTACACACACCGAAACTGTCTTCACCCCAATTCAAGTTCAATTCTAAATGCACTTAGTATCATGAATTATATGACTTCTCCAAGTCTACGATGCGAACATTTCACGCTAGCAGCATACACGGTAGGGTTTCTTTACTCATCTGACTTTTGAGCTGCAGTCAATCTCACTAATTTCACATGAGCCAAATGACTTAATAATACTATGTCATAAACGGTGGCTCACAGTAAAACCCAGGCTCTCATTCAACAATACCTACTAACTAAAGAGGGCGATGTGCCCATATCTAACAAAGACGTACATAATACAGAATGGTTTGAAATGAATTTAACTACTTATTGAAGCTGAAACTATCAAAACCTATGCAACATAATTTAATGCCAAAGAAAAAATATATTTATATATGTTTACATAAAAACTAAAAAGAATTGGCAGCTTATGCATCACATGTGGTGGGGTCAACAAACTATGTGTACCTCGTCCCTCTCCCCAAATAGTACAGCCATAAGCAAGACACCAGTTCCCTACTACTTTTCTAATATCGTAAACCATTGTACCAAGAGATCCGTGACTTGATTCGTTCTTCTTCTCACTTATTAGCTACAACCGCAGATTGGATTTACTGTGTACGAGTTACTACAACACGAGTTTAGGATTGTGTTTAGGATTTACAAGGTTACACTGTTGCAGGTGCATATGGCAAACGTTGTAACTAGACAATTGACACCACAGTGTGGGAAATCATACTCCATACAGATTACAGCCTGTCCTAGTAATATTGAAGCCATAATGTTTATAAACTCGTACTTGAATATGAATATAATGTAGTTTATAACAATTGGATTCAAACATTTTGAGACAATTTAAACATAGAACGCTTAACAACATTGACAACATAGACACAATTCTTTCAATTCCTATTTCATTTCATTTCACGTAGGAAACAATTGTATTTATAGCATTAATATATTGTTTAAGAATTGTATAAGCAAATCAGGATAGATATTGTACTTTTTGCCTCCAGTATGACTGTGCAATGCACAAGCCACTTAGCGTGCTTAGTATTGGTATAATTCAGTTGCTACGAGATGACGAGAAAACGATTGTCTAGCGTAGTTTTACTAACTTTTATGAATGCAAGACCACATATTGTCTAGATAGACTGGTTCAGGGCAATTGTATTTCACGTAGGAACTTTACATTGAATATCGTTGTTGTGGTTCACAATAAACGTGACTTCGTCACGTTAGATCGTCTGCTTAATAACATTCCTCCTAATTTTATTATGATCACGCGGGTACAATTCCCCTTAAGGTGATATCCGGACAATGTGGTTTGTAGAAAGTATATATTTTACCGGTAAGTTTCATGTGAGGATTTTAACACCTTCCTCATACACGTGTTTTTTGCTACATTGATGTTATATGTGAGTTACGGATCAATGTTGTTTGTGTTGAAAATGTAGATATCTTAATTAAGGATAATTGTAGTTAGTAATAGTTATGTAGCTAATACTGAGATTGTTAATGGTAATCATTAAACCAACATTGTCTGGTCCGGGTCACAGTTTTTCATGCATTATTCAGTGGAGAGGTTATTTAGTACAAATATAAATCACTTGTTTTTGTTCCAGGATGATACACCATAATTATGCATACACTTCGTATGTTTCAGAGATATTTACATAGAGATGTCAATTTTAATGTTAATTGTGTCATATTCGCCACGTGATACGTTGTCTAAATCATAAAATATCGGAATATGATGCAGACATCGTGCGTGATGCTCGTTTGTAGATGTATGCATAATATCACTGCACGACTCACATTTGTATCCAATATAACAAATGTGAAAGTAAACTGTACCCCACTTTTCGAGGATTCTTTAAAATGCGAATTCCAAACAAAGGTCTGAATTGGTTCGTGATAGTCCAAATAAACGTTGGATTCCAGTACAGAACTATGGCAACCGTAACCCATGACTAGACGTAATTTTCATAAACTAAAATAATAATTTTATGCTCTCAGCTTTTTCCAATATTACATGTTTTCTGAAGAAAAATGGCTTCTTGTCGTCTATCAATAACCACGCCTATGTCAAAATATTGTAGATTTGCAAATATCAATACTGTAGATTACATATAGCCTCTCCTATGATAATATATCGCGACATTATGTGTTTTCTACATACAAACTTTCATCTGTCAAAATATTGTAGGCTCGCAACTATTGCAATATTACGGGCTATAAATAGCATCTATATTCTAAACTTTCTATTTATAACTATTCCATCCCTGTGAACTTTATTTAGTCTCGCCACCATTGCAATGATACTGTAGGCTCATAACTATCCCAATACGTTTTAATTTAAATAAGCATGAACCACTAATTTGAAAAGGAAGTGATACTTATAATGCAACAAGCTGTTTTAATTGCTGTTGAGATAGAGTTTTAATATTAGCCTGTCAAATTATCATTTATTGTTCCACTGAAAAATCAAAATAATAACCCCTGTTACTAAGACTTCTATTGATCATGGGTGTTAATTCCCCCTCTACTCATGGCCCGTGATCCCCCATAAGATAATGGTTGCATCCAATATCAAAGATGGCGGACTATATCGTTAATTCGTCTCGCTCTACTGTGGATTACTTAGACTTAAATAAAGATCCAAAAAAGTTAGTATTTATATGCCTGTTTTCAGTCTTTGCAATGCTTCAGTCAGTCTTTTTCTTCACTACCCATCTCCTCGTGTGGCAGGTGGTCACATTTAGTGCTCACAGAAAATAACCTCTGTCAGTGTGTATTTATACCCGTAGATGCAGTTTCATTTGCCACATGTCAAAACACTCATTTCCAAGTGCCACACCTTGGTACAGGTAGTCAAGTCTGACATTGTTTATATGGAAATGGCAATAGTGAAAGGCAAACTGGGTGGTCAAACTTGTCAACAGTAATAAATATAGGCACCGGCCGTCTTCGCTCACACCATTATGAATTACCTGGCTGTTTATAAGGCCACTTTGATGTTAACAATAATAATTTTAAACTTCTATTCTCTTGTTTCGAAAGATGTGACCATATCATCAATATCGTCCTAAAATGTGATTTGTAATTTAAAAGCACATTTTAATGTTATTTTTCCCTCCTCGTTTTCCTGTGGAAATATGTGAAAACACAAATCAATCAGCTACGGGATGTGGAACGGGCACAATCCTGGTGGACATAATCCAAGTAGGACAAAATACTGGTAGAATAAAAGACGTTACTAACTCACCTAGACAACATTGCAGTATATTGCACGAAAAAAAAGTCATTTAAGAGTGGAGACTACCATAATCTGTACATTTTATAATTGTACCACGTATTGTTTCCAGTTATATTTTAATCATTACTCTCATGTCCCAAATAAACTGGTACTGGTACGTTTATTCTTTTTCCACGAAAAATTCCATCCGGCATTTTCTGTCGGCATGTCCGTGCATTTTTATCAACGCACGAAATACATCACCATTGTACTGATTGGCTAGAAAGTTTCTCAGCAAGGTCGACTTGGGTAGTGATTGGTTTGTTATTTGATTAGATCTTGCGGCCTGGCAAACAGAGACATCTGTTGTTCATTTATATTCCTAATTACAAGGGACAGTGAAATGTTTTTTTCAAACACCAGTAAGAGTACATTTTAGAAGCAAGGGAACAATTTACCGGACATTTTGGAAATTTCCCGGGGGGTATGTTTATTAGATTTTGAAGATTTGTGCGGGGATATGTATATTTTGGACATTAGAGTAACCATGACGTCCAAATATCATTGTATTTTTAGTAAAATACACAAAATCAAAGAAGAAAATTTTAAAGCGCGGTGGTCGTCGCGCAGCGCGTGTTCGAATTTCATGTAAATAAACAATGTATACGTCGCTATGAGTCCCATATCGAACAGGGCGCGGCACGGCGACTGCCGCCCTTTAATATTAAAGAGGTCGGACACATCCGGGTATTTTCTGGTGTTTATTATTTTGAATACCCATATTTTTCTACTGGTACATAAATAGAAATACAGGGATTATGAGTAGCGTCACAAATCACCTGAACAACAAAGCAGAAGCACTCTCCGGATCCATATTCGCCTGTAAGTTACCCATTTTATACGTTCTCATGGTTATTTCGAGCAATATATTAGTCAAGGAGCCGATTTTCATAAATGGTCTAGAAAAGGAGTAATAAAATTACAGTCTTTTTAAAGAGGTGTCTTTTTAATATGTCCAGATTCCATGTAGAGTGAAAAACTGTTGTTCTTTAGTATCATCCATATTCTACAGCGCATCTGCGGCATACATTACATACAAAGTAAGCTAAGCTTTTTTGTATCATTTTTACATACACGACACAAATCAATCTGATATGAAACGTATATTTTTTGAGAGACTAATATATTTGAATGAATATAGATATGTACGGGGGCAAGGTCTATAAATAGCTATTTATTAAAAAACAGTGTGTTTCTAATGTTAACCGCCGTTGATATATCCAAATTAACCTCAGAGGTGACATCATATGAGTCATTACCATGTACTTGGCTAGTACAACCGTAGAGAGCGGGGTTTATGTCAGAATCTCTAAGAATGTATGGTGTTAATAATTATGCTTTTGCAGTGTTGAATACACTTAGAGGGTTTGTGGCGGTGACTTCGCCCACTGCTCTGTTACAAAGACTATTAAGACTGAACCATCGTGCTGTGTAAATGTATGGAAATGAACGAGATTATATCTCTGAGAAAGATCCACAGTATTGACGAGAATCAGATCCTGAGTAACCAAGTTAACAACAGATTAAAAACGCTTAAACAGTCGCAGTGCCGTTATTACCACCTAGGCCATTCACACTGAGTCTTAGTTATACCCGTGCGATATTTTCCTAAATGTTATAAGTAAATAAATATAAATTCCACGTACTTGCAACACACCACTTAATAATATTTCCTTTGTAATTTTTACCCTGCACCAATTCATATGGCTATAATTTGCATAGATAGATAATAACTCGTTGTCTAGTAGATATCTCTTTAAAAATACATCCACCCATCACTTTAAAAAGACTGTACTTACTAGTTCAAATTTGATATTTAGTATTACCTGCATTTTAAATCATGATACGATACAATGTATTAAATGATTGTATTTGTTTCCAGAAAATGGGTGATGTATTTAAAGTGAGTGCTGTCTTCTGTTTATGCCGATGCTATACGGCATTATGTACTTATAGAGCTTGTTAAGCCACTTAACTAATTATAGAACCTGTACATTTTGTCTAGCTGTATGGCATCCAACAACATGGAAAAAACAACTTCAGAAAAAAATAGTTTGACAGATAATCTACATATCTTACTGGATCCAGATTGTACACAAGAGGAAGCAATTAGTGTGTATGACTCTTGGACCACATATGATGAGGTGATTTTTTTTGATATTTTGTTCACTTTGCTGAAAAAATAAATATGTTATTAATTTTTAAGTTTGTCCGCATGGGTGGGTGGATGTATCAGGGGGAATTCCTTCTCTCTGGGTTCTCCACACGCGTCAGGGGGGGGGGGAAATCTCGTCTCGTCTCTCTATCGCGTCCCCTTGAGGTACAAGATCGGGGAAGTCACTTAAACTTTACAGTCAAGTGAGACACACACAACGAAATATGTTTCAACTCTCGTCTTAGTCGGTCAGTCAAGCACTTTATAAGACACAGTGCCCTGGGAAAAAATCCCCAAGACAATCGCAAGGCTGACCCAAGACTCTCTCTAGATTGCGTCAAGACTCGCCCCAAGACTCTCTAAGACTGGACTCTGTCCTGGTAGGGGGGAATCTCGTCTCGTCTCTATATCTCGTTCCTTTGAGGTACGGGATCGGGAAAGTCACTTAAACTTTACAGTCAAATAAGACACACACAACAAAATACGTTTCAACTCTCGTCTTAGTCGGTCAGTCGAGCACTCTATAAGACACAGCGCCCTGGGGAAAAGTCCCCAAGACTATCGCAAGGCTGACTCAAAACTGCCTCTAGACTGCGTCAAGACTCGCTCCAAGACTCTCTACGACTCTGTCTCTCCTGGTGTACTCGCCAAGACCAACTCAAAACTCTTTATTCATTTTCAAAACCTTAACCAATTACAAAGCAGTAAAAAGACTTCAGAGCTTAACCTTCTATCATACAGCCAATCAAACTAAGTACTGAATACGTCATATCTTTTGATTAATCGTTCACTATATTAATAACTGCGAATACTAACTGTCAGAAATAGTAGTCCAAATAGCGACGGTTATCTCGTAACTAGTTCCAAATCACTGAACCAAGTTCCGTCCGGAACCTCGTATGGGCCTAAACGATGACAGACATAACACATCCATTCATTCGTAATCAGCTAATTAAATCGATCAAGAGATACGCAAAAACAAATTCATCACAGATGGTTGGCGTTGATGGTAGTGGTGGTGGGGGTTATAATTGTCACAGTCGACGGTAAAATTCTGCAGTTAAATACTGGGTGTCACACATATTACACGAAATCTGTATATGGTTTTGTTTCGTATTTATTGATACGTTATAGCTTAGTAGACTGGCCCTACCGTGGCATTTTTTAAATATTTTTTTTCTTAAATCGTGGTCCGACGTGGTAATATCGCGTCAACGCGGAAGATTTTACAAATTCGTTATCATGAATTATCATGTAAGACAATACAATTAACACGACTGAGTCAATCTTATACACGTATAGTTTAGTTGCAGTACACGAGGATATGAATATTTAACTAGTAACTTGCCTTGCATTGTTTCCTTCATGTAGGACGTTATTGGACATGCATATAATGGCCATAAACATGCGCTGAAAACAGTAATGAAACTGGGGATCGGAAAAGAGGCGAGAATACTTGATGTGGCTGCTGGCACTGGATTAGTTGGTACAGAGGTAAATATAATTTATATGTACAGTCACTTTCATAGTCGCCATATACGGCATTGCGCGGCATATACAAGCTGTTTTATCGCGTCATTGTCGTTACTTGGCCGTAGTTAAGGCCAAGGGTTAAAGGTCAAGGTTTAAAATGAAAATGAAAAATTAAAGTCATTTTCAAAACTGGAGGAAAAAGCATGATGTTTCAAATGTTAATCCATTTTTAAAGTGAGTGAAATTACAAATATATACATTGCATTACGAATTACTTATCCTTTTAAGAGTTTGATGTCATTTTTAATTGTAGAATCGACAAATAATTTTAAAATACTCAAATAATGATGTAAATCATGAATGAGTAGAATACGGAGAAAAAAATCAAATTACAAAAACGTGACATTCCAAAAAAAGCATGGCCGTGGCCCTTCTCGGTTGCCGTAATGGGGTTAGTTGGTCGATGAATTGAACAATATATGATTGATACATATTTTTGATCAAAATCCTAGCGCAAAGTTGTACATATATGTATCATTTCTATGTTAATTTGTTATTATGGTCCAAATAAACAGAATATAACAATACCAATATATTTTGCTCAATTATTTTGTAAAAAAAAATGTATGCAAAATTGTGTTGCATACTTGACAAATCGTTTTCATGAAACTTATTTTATGTTCTCAGACTCGTTAGTTTTGTTTGTTTATAGCTCGTGTGAGAAAGCTCATCCCGGCATGCCTTTGGTGATTCTAGTAATCTTTAATTGTCAATTCACATTTTCTCAGTTATATGAACATGGCTATACAAATATTGACGCACTAGATGCTTCCAAGGAGTTACTTGCCACTGCAGAGAAGAAGAGGGTTTACAAAAAACTGATGTGCCTCGCTCTCGGGGAGGACAAACTGGACATAGATGAAGGCACGTTATTCAATCAATCAATCAATCAATCAATCAATCAATCAATCAATCAATCAATCAATCAATCAGTCAATCAATCAATTGTGGCAATCGTATATGTTAACTGATAACTGGTATAAGAAGTTAAACTTTGCAACTTCATTATTCATTAGAGCATAATTTGCAAATATCTTGGCACTTGAGTTAAAGGGGAACCGCTCAATCCCATGGATTGCACCAAAGAAGCATGGGACACTATTGTTTATGTTGTTTACAATGTTAATCTGTCTGTTGTTACCCATTGTTATTTTAATCCAGAAAGTAAATTTGGTGTGAGATTAGACTTAACTGGAAGGTTCCCCTTTAAGAAAGAACATTTATTGTATGGCTCATACAATTATTTATTTAACTATGATCTCATTAATGATTTTCTGGTTCTAGATACATATGATGTTGTGACTTGCTGTGGTTGCTTTGGTTACGGTCACATACAACCTAACCATCTAAACGAGATTGTACGCATCGCCAAACCAGGTATAGTGTTCTTTAAATGCCACGGTGGTGGTCGCGTCAAATCCTGTTCGATATAGGACTTGACGTATACAACACGTGTAAATTACATTGTTTACATAAAGTTCGAACACCCGGTGTGCGACGACCGCCGATCTTTAATGGATAACACAGTACACGGTAACCGTACACAGTACACATTGATGCATTCACTTTCTCCTTGTTAATTAACGTTGTTGGTACTTTCTAGGTGGTTACGTAATCGCCGTGGTAAGAAGAAGTCCCCCGCCATGTGACAAGTTCTGTGAAAAATTGCGTGAATTTATACAACAATTGAAAAGGAATTGTTTAGTGAATGATTTTACCATGGAGAATATCCAGACTATTAAGATGACATACCTGGATTTGTAGTGATATTACGTATATGTTAGGACGGTAATACTGTCACCATAAGCAGAGATTGAAAATGGATAGTAATAATAAAACAGGGGTTGTTTTGAATCAGTAGAAATGTGGTTGGTTTATTATAGATCATAAAACCGCAATAAAGTAAACTTGTGCATATATTATGGATTTTGTGCATTCATTCATTCCTTCATTGTGTGGATTAATATACCAGATAATGTAATGTGGGAAAAAGCATCATACACTACAATGCACAATTAAACAAACAAATAAACTTGCACGTTTTTACCATTATCTACATCCAGTTTTAGGTTTCTATACAGAAAGTTCATGAACCAACTTAAGACTGTCACAATGCTCCAAATTTCACGGTGACAAAATATGCCTGAGATTCAGAACAAAATAGACGATCCTTTGAAAATAAACACGTTTCCACTAAATGTGTTAATTGCCATTTCAGTGACATTGTGACTGCTGTCGCCGGAACAGTTACTAGTGTTGAACTGCTTTTTAGTGGCAATATATTTTAATCCAATGGAACCACTTATTGTACGAGGACAGTCAGCTGGTGTGCACTTGATAAAACAATAATACGATCAATTTACCAATATTTACTATATGAGGGGCAGCCATCTCACAAACCAGAAAAAATACCAAACTTTCACAGTCAAACGATCCGTTTGGGCAACATTAATGAATTCGTCTTTTTAAGTGGAAGAAAGCTTACATACGAACACCTAATTACACGAAGGGCATAAAACACTTTCTTGCAGTTTTTAAAACCGAAATCGTCATCCAACTCAGAAGCCAATCAGCGACGACCTTACAGTTAGATGACGATTTCGGTATTTCCTGTATCAAAATGTTTGGACGTAGTCAATCCTCGACTGTAGCACAATGTTTGTGTCAAATCAAGTTAAACAAAGAACACTAAGTGCACATGTAAATTATTGTCAATGAGACAAAACATTACTGGGTAAAAGCTGAACTTAAACTGAGTTGAACTTATTTAAACGCATTTTGTACCAAAATGGCCACCAGTCATTAACAATTTGCAATGGTAATTGATGCGCTGATGTGTATACCTTTGTGTATATTTAAAAATTATCTCTGAATGACGGACTGGTTTCCCGATTGATTTATTAAATAACTAGTCCCCCGAAGGAAAAACATGTTTAATCATTATAATAGAAATTGTCCTCATCGAATACATATTTTCGCAAATAGCTAAAACACGAAGTAGAACTTATGTGTAACGAAATTCATTTTTGTTTTGTATTCATATTGTAGCTACCGGTATTGTTATTAAATAGCTACTGCAAGATATTATTACTTGGGGTTTATCAATGTTCGAATTAAAGATTATGTGAGTTATCAAAATACTATAAAGAACTGGGCATGCAACCTTGACTTACCCCCCCCCCACCCACTACTGTATTCAAAATAATCAGAACATATGCACGATTTGATAACAGAATGTAACATTTTACCTTTCACAACCCCTTAAAAAAGACGGAATAAAAGCCTCTACCGTTCAACAGTGGATTTTGTAAAAAAAAAAAAAACATAAAATTGCCGCGTTTTTTAAACACTGTCAGCCGTCGAATACTGCAACAGGGGTCGACCTGTCTCTCGTTTATCTTACCAAGAGTCTCTATGCAGAAAACACCACGCACATGGAAAAGAGAAGTGAACATATTTTGCTGAAATTCCTCTAAAATTAGTGTTGGCCAATGTCAGGGAAATGTGTCATAAATAGTATGCTAAAATATATAGGTGACGACTCACCCGCTTCGGTACATGTACTGCAACGATATTTATTGGCAAATTGTGGCCAATATAATTATCATAATAATAAAAAATCTTTCATTCGTTAATTTTTTTTAAATAATCATAAATTCACAATTCTGTTTACGAGCTCAAAATTTATCGATTGGTTTATCCGATCTGTTATAAATAGAAATTACTCTCAAATTCCTATTATCATAATCCTATTTTGCATGAGGTATACCTTGCACAAATGGCCTAAAATGTTAATTGTGTACTCGTACAATGGAAATACTCAATATAAATACCTTGCTAAAAATAAGATAGTTCAAATTCATCTCTCATTATAATATTTTTTCTCTTCTACGCATAGAAATACAAATCGCTCACTACTGATACTTTCACTGTGCGGCCGAGCTTCTTTCCTCGAAAAATTGAAGGGAGACCCAAACGAGAACACAAACATATTGGTATTAATGCGTTAAATACTCAAATATATCATGGACTAGAGAGACGTTGTGCTATTTCCCAATGAATTATTTATAAATCACGGTATGTCCCGTGTTATTGCCGTTTATATACAAGTGATAACAAATAAGTCCGATGCACAGACTCAGAGCCGAGCCCCGGGAATCTGAGCTACTACTGTTTACTATTCGCTTCAGGGAAATGCTTAAATAATATAGGAACAACTCTATATTACTAGTAGTTGTAACATGAAGATGGCTACAATCCTACCAACAATAACACAATGGATTACCTATAATATCGAATACGTACATGTATGTACACTTTCTCCCAACTGTCGATTCATTTCAAATAGTCCACCACCGTTATTAAAACATTCACTCTAAAAAGTCTAAGCGGTGTTTTCAGTTTGTTCCACTTCGACGTGCAGTCTCAATGTGCGTTCTATCATATTGAACCACTCTCGAGGTACAGTGCAGCTGCAAATACATCACATTTTATTATATCATTTGATATTTATTTATTTAAGCTTTACAAAACAATTATGCATACGATATCACAATAAGGAATGGAAAGGCACATCACACACAGGACACCGGGAGAAAAATAAGGGCTAATAAAATAAGATATTAAAGCGGGAGTGTCGTCACCTACGCATGCGTGACATGGCCATGAGCCTTTGCGCTCTTAGCTTGTGTTGTTATCATCGCTTAGGACTCAATTCCCGCGCGCGCTCGCAGGTGACGACCCTCCCGCTTTAGGCAATTAAAACTATATTTACTATATTGCGCAGCACCGAATACAAGTACAAAAGCTGTGCCAAGTACAGTAGACATTGGTAGCAAAACAATCACTGACTTTAACTTTAAACCAATCTCGTGGTATCCTTTCTAGAAATCGTCATAATCTTTTATTTACAGGCATTAAAAGTCATTCACGACATGATCACAGTCGTAAAGACATAACAAATCAATTTGTAGCACATTAAAATCATCCACAGAATTTTTTTTTATAAATGTGATCTACTGAAGAAGTCATTTGATATATATGATATGTATTATATCATTTAATATGTACCATAGAAAGTGATAGGTATTATATCATTTAATATGTACCATAGAAAGTGATACGTATTATATCATTTGATATGTATCCGAGAATGTGACACATATTATTTCATTTGATATGTATCATACTATTTAGTATGTATCATAGAAAGTGATACGTATTATATCATTTGATATGTATCATAGAAATGTGATACACGTATTTTATTATTTGATATGTCTTATATAATGTAATACGTATTATAGCATTTGATATTCATCATATGATGTAATACGTATTATATCATTTGATATGTATCATATAATTTTGTATGTATTATACTATTTGATTTGTATTATAGAATGTGATACGTATTATACTATTTGATATGTATCATAGAAATGTGATACCGATTATAATACGTAATATAACATTTGATATGTATCATAGAATGTGATACGTATAACATCATTTGATATGACAGGACCAGCATTCCTTGCGCAACAGGTGAGCTCGAAGAAGATAAATAAGAATGCAGCAAACGGTTTGTGCCAATTTGAATGATATTAATTTAGAGAGGGCCCTTTCGGGACGAAATCCCAACGAACCGCAATCCTTAGAATTATTGCAGTCGAACGCGTTTACTCAGTGATTTTTGATGGCTCGAGCCGTTTCGAGCCGTTGGGCTCTAATAAAATCCTGTCGTGTAAACGAGGTAAATCCCCGGTTACGTAGCATAATTGTAATTATTACGTCGTAATTCAGTAAATATCGGCGTTACCGCTGTATGCCAGTATTTAACGTTCATACACATTAACCTTCTTGAAACTTGTTACAGAAAAGTTGCCTTTCGTTTTATTGTTTGATGAACCATGCCATAACCTTGAACCCAAACGAGAAATAAACATATCGGCTCCTAGTTTATTTCCATTTTGCCGCCCGGCTTGTATCCCTCACTCAGGAGTATCTGAAGAACACGATACTCGAAGAAGACGTGTATAAACGTAGCACTATTGTTATTACAACGAGTTACATCATGACCTCGTGAATAATGAATAGTTTATTGGATGGGTCTAAGGTCGTCGAGGCATCGCAGGTCAACCAACTCGTTACCGTCTGGCACTACTAGTTGCGTGCTGTTTTGGTGAGTACGGAAATTAGCGTTGTTATTGTGATTGCTCTGTCCCCCTGTAGCTGACATTTTATTGAGACGAGGAATCAAAACATGGCGTAGATTATGGCTGTGGTCTGAACCAGGGTAGTTGGAGATACCAACGCTATGTTTCAACGCCAGACGACAGAAGAAAGTGTATTCCTTCGTAAGACTACGTATTCAGATCTACATTATTATTACATCTGTCACCGTAACGCCATAAGTTACAGCGTGCCGTAATTTTGCGGTATTGCACTGGATATTTTTATCCTACCATATCAGGAAACGCGAATTCCAAATATGGAGCGATTACGCGCGTAAGCGTCCTTTAATAATAAAAAAGACAAACATGGCTGCCCCCAGGGTTTGACCGCACCCCACACAAAGAAGTTCGCTAAATCTGTTCTAAACGTTTTGGATTTCGGCTTTCCCATGATGTATTCCTGGGAGGCAAAGATGTATAATAATAAGATTATTACGAGGACACTGCAAAGTATGAACTAAGACAGTACGCTGCGCGTTGGTCGATACTTCGCTGTACTGCCTTCGTGCATACTTTGCAGTATCCTCGCAATAACCTCATTTTATTATTATATTGGCGTGCCGTAATGAAGTGAAAGGATAGTATTAGTAGTAGCTAAATGTCTGTTGTCTGGCGTCGTCGTCGTCGTAAATTTTCTTGTAAGCGCCATAACTCAAATAATATTCAACCAATCGCTATCAAACTTAAGTATGTTTAAAAGGCGGTGGTCATCGCACAACGCATGCGCAAGATATGAGCCTCGTGTAAACAAAGATAGCGCAGACCAACGAGTACAAATTGATACGTAACCAAGTTTTAATTAAGTAATTTCTTTAGTGATTGGAAGGTATCGAACGAGTCACTGGTGGCAATTAGTGCACGTCACGTTCAGAACAAAAAAACTCCTGATTTATTTGGAAGAGTGCATTGGATTGTGGGAAAATCAATGCTTATCGACACAAATGTCACACATGCCCGACGCAACGACCACCGCCCTTAAAGCTGAATGAGGAATTCTTCAATTTCAATGTTATTTTTGTCTTTTGTCAGCATATTCTTTGATATTTTTATTACCTTGAATATTATCAATAGAGGGCACCCTGTAACTTTTTGTTCAATAACTTCAATGTTTAATATTTTTAATGAATTTAATAACACATATCTACTATAACTGATCGTTATCGTTAGTTATGGTATTAATTAGTGCTAAACCATTCAGCAAAATGGGGACATATGTGAAATCCTGATTTCTAGCAATTTAACTAAAGTAATCAGGTTGAATGGTAAATTTTGTTAATGATAAATAAACTAACAATAGTGTTGATTTTGTGAATATACGATTCGGGTGATTCTACTTAAATTAATTAATTTCCTTTAAATTGTTTCTTTAAGTAGGCATTATGAGTACATTTTTGTACATTCTAATTGGGTGATTACTCCCTAACTTATAATATGGTTACTCTGTATACATAGATGATCTTGCCCACCATATGCTATAAACTTCCGATCATATGCTGTGATCTTCCCAACCATTTTAGTCTCTCCATCTTATGCTATGATCTGCCCACATATGTAATGATGTTCCCATTCTATGCTTTGATTTACCCACCCTCACATATACAGAGAAAGTCATGTGTAGTTTAATTATGTCTATTATTCATATCTTATACCATTCAACTATTTGTAGTTTATTATGTCGAACTGTCTTATTGCGTGAAAGCTCTATTCAGCACAATGGTGTTAGTTTGTGTGTAAATTGTTTGCTCTAGAATCAATATAACCTGTTTTATCAATCTCATCAACAACAAAAAATGGTTTTTTTTAATTGGAAATTCCTTAGGCATTTATTAAGTATCGTTTAATCTTTACTTTGACAGAGTTTACATTGAATAAAATGGAAAGGAAGATTATTCGAAGCGATTTTGATGATATGATGAAAATGCTCCAGGAACCAGGTCATGAGAAAGATGAAGTTCTTGGTGTCTATGATCACTGGGCAAACAATTATGAACAAGTAAAATAACTTTTAATGATTCTTAACATTACACTGTGACGTATGACTAGACAAGAGTCGTTAGTAATAACATCAGTGACCCCTAAAGGTCACACATACTGGTACTTTTGTTAATACGTCAGAATCACAAACATACATTATTGGGACATTATAATGTGTCTTTACCACTAAGAGAAACATTAAACTTAAGTAGACAAAAACAAAGAATCACGTTTAGTAAATAGTGCTGAAATAGATTGTGGCAAGTGAGCTCAGAAATGTATTAAAACAATTTTACAAAGAAATGTGCACACCAATAATAATTTTTTATAATCATCGTTTGCACGTGAATATAATCAAAATTTGTTTTTATTCTCGAAATTTTTATTCTTTTCATTCTTTTTGAATTATAACTAAAAGTATCTGAATGAAATTATATGCACGTGTATGAATCTTATTATATAATGTATTTTCCTCCATAAAAACAAAAGAATTTCACCATGTCAAAAACGGACAGTCTTTATCGTAGTTTTTAGTGTAATATTACTTGGGACGTATTATTGTAATAAGGTGCAGCGCTTTGTGTGTATTTGCAGCGTTCTATTTATACTAACTAAGTAATGTTTATTATTTATGTCTAGGACAATTCTCTGATAGGATACAGAGGGCCGCAGCTAACAGCAAATATGGTATCGAAACTAGTGGAGAACAAAGACGATAGAATATTAGATGTCGGGGCAGGAACAGGATTAGTTGGCAAAGAGGTGAGATATTCGATGGTACTCTATTGGAATGCTTCCAGGAATATATGCGCGGTGGAAAAGTTGTAGGGTCTGTGATTAATGTATTATCAGCGTTGTGTAAAGCTGAAAATCCGTTATTCGATTCTTTGAGTGTAATTTGCATTGACTCTGTCTGATGAACGTATACAAAGGTATCTTTAATGAGGAGGTATGAATGTGAAAGAAAGATTTGATGTCTGACATCATCAATATGATATGAAATTTTGAAATGTAAAAATAATGTTTTTGTGAAAATGTACAATTTTGCGATTTGGGAATCAAGGAATTTTTATATTAATATTTAACAGCTTTCATTATCAATTATTAAGGGATGTAAGAGTTTTATTTCAGATTCCACATTTTGAGGAACCCAACAACTCTCTAAATTTCAGTTTCCATGTTATCCCCCCGTTAATCATATATCAATATGTTTTTATGTGATCTTTGAAACGTACATAAAGTTTGTTATTTAGTATGCATATTAGAAGATAAATATTCACAAAATAATTGGAACTATTCGGCGTTTTTTACAATATCCACTGTATTGTCACCCTTCTATCTGCACGTCCGAATGACATTGCTGAATGAACATATGCATGAAGCCTACATTTACAAGTTCGGACATAAGTGACTCAAGGATATTTGACTTGCAATGAGTTATTCATTGTGATATACCTGGTTTAACAGGCTGTATGTTATGCTCTGTTTCTTATACTGTTGTTGATGTGAATGTAATATTAATGGGGAATTGTTTTCAAACAAGAATTTCAAAAAATATTCAGCCCCTTTGGTCATCCCAAGGATATACACAATTTTGTGATGCTCTCGGCTTCTTGTTAAACCCCATCAACATAATTAAATGAAATGTAAGCAACCACATGTTCCTACACTATTTCAACAATACTCTACTAACCAAAGTTGATAATTTCCAACTCATCCGCTATGCTATGGCATATACTACACACTTTTTATCAGACTAGAAGACTCATTTTACTACTTTCAAATGGCTTAACGTTTTCAAGCAAACACGTATATTTGATTTCAGATCTTTCTTTTAACTTGCGTAATATAGATATGCTTTTTGACTGTGGTTGATGGCAGGTATCAGCGCTGGCTGTCTTCAATCGTTGTTTTAAATTTAATTATCTATTTCGTGAAATGCTCGTTGACCTTCTTGTTTAGTTTTTTTTTACTATTTTTAACTATTTTTCTGGGTCTGGGTTGTTATAAGTCGGCGGTGTGTCCTTCGAGGAATAAATGACATATATATCCATTATATACAATAATACGAGTAAAAGTAATACTTTATCTGAGAATGTTTATTTTTCCTAACAGTTGCATAAACTTGGATATACCAATCTAGATGCACTTGAACCTTCAAGAGAATTGTTGCATATTGCTAAGAACAAAGGGATCTACAAGAAACTATTTTGTGAAGGTATTGGTACCACCAAACTGGACATAGATAAAGGCACGGTATAATTATATTTTTCTTTAAACTTCGAGAACATATACCATCTTATATACATAATTTTGATTGACTGGTTAACAGCATTCATTGATGGCCCATTCATCTCTTTTTAATAATAGGTGGCGTCAGTTATTTCTTTGTATCATGTGTTAGTGGAAAAAGTTAGTAGAAAAAAAATGAGGTACTTGAAATAATCTGGCACCGAGACTCAAAATGGCCGTCAAAGTAGGGTTTAACTCATGGGGAATTTAAAACATCATTGAGTACTTTCTGCGATGGCCTTTTTTATAACTTATTGCATCTACATGTCACCACGTCCATTCTTAAACAAGTTATTTTGTTCTAGGTTACTACTCGGCGGTAACTGCATCTGGCTGTTTTGCTCCTGGTCATATGCCACCTGAAGCCCTACGAGAATGTGTTCGCATTGTTAAACAAGGTATATTTATTAATTTATTTTTCTCTATATTCATAATTATTATGGTTCAATGAAAATCTCTAATGTATCATTATCGATATGATTCAGTATTGGAGATATGTACTGTACCATTATGGAAGGTATTTAATTCCGTGCAGTACTGAAGATATGTTTTATACAATTTTAAAGGGTAATCAATATGGTTCAGTATGGAAATATGTACTAGACCAATGTGGAGGGCAATTAGTATGGTTCAGTTGTGGGGATATGTAAACAATTATGATGGGAACCATCATAGAGGGCAATCAATATGGTTTAGTGCTGGAGGTATGTACTGGAGCATTATTAAGGGTAATTAGTATGGTTTGTACATCATAATTATGATGGAATTGGATTTTTTTTACAGATGGATACATAATTTTCCTGATGAGAGAGGTACACTGGAATAGTTTATGCGACAAACTTCAAGAAGTAATCCAAGACTTAAAAGCGAGGAAAATGGTGTCAGACATCCATGTGGAGCCAGTTCCAGAATATCACATCGCTACTGAGTACAACCCAAGCGCCATTCCTGGAATAAAAATAGTCATAACAGTTTCGAAACATGACTAACAAAGTCTGGTTTATAGATTGAAATGTAATGACTTGTGAAATAAATGCTTTGAAAATTCACTATTTCGTTGACTGATTTAATTTTAATAGAAATACGTTGTTGACACTTGATGTCTCATTATATTATGTACTTTTGCATCAATTATTTTCGCCGTACGAGTGTGTTCGCTTTTCATGTATACAAGCAACGTATTTTACACGTGTTACACGCCTTCTCACAAATGCAAATACACAGAATGTATTCATCTTGCAATAAATTGCATTCCCGGGCATTGTGGAATTATTTTGAAAATAGCGATTTTGGAAAAACTATTAGAAGAAGTTTCTCAAATCGCGTCACTGTAACACAGAAAAGAATGCTATATCATGTTGAATCTAATGAATATCCTGATGCGATTTATGACCAACTTTTTCAAAAATTATGAGTAGGCTTATAGGCGAGCGGCCATACCCTGATTTTTAAAAATTTAATCTCCCCCTTGTACAGAAAGTTGTACTATGATTTTTATTAATCTTTGATGTTCATGGATGGTTTTTATGGATGTTGTCCACAGTTGCAGGTGTACAGTTGCCATGGAAACGCAAATATAAACAACCGCCAAAAATACTTAAAATATGATTTGTTTGCTACTACGTCGTTGATACCCATCTATAATAGAGCATATCTAAACAAATGATTGACTGTTTATATATTTTATTTCATCCAGATAACCATTTGTCACTTGATCAGTGCATTACAGCATTAGTGATTCATATTTTTCACTAAATTAAAGTCGGGATAGGTCAGTTGAATGTAGTTCTTTTGTTGTATTTCAACCATTTCTCTTACCATATTATATTATATTATATTATATTATATTATATTATATTATATTATATTATATTATATTATTATCTGCACTATATAACTTAATCAATATAATTGGCATTTTTACCTTGCCTGTAGTGTAAACAGAAGGTAAGATATTATTATTTTTTCAAATAACAATGCAGTTGAAAGTGTGATTTCATCACAAATGGTATAACAATATTTAATTTCAACAATACTATTTATAGCTAAGATATTTTCTTTCTTATTTTTTAATGAAATAATGTTAAACTAAATTATTAATTATTTTACTATATATTAATATTAATGATTACTTTCCTGATTGGTACATTATATTATAAGGCGTTCCACAATTATATACTGGTCTAGTGGGTTAGGTACAGCTTATAATTGACAGATATTTGTCAAATATATATATATATATATATATATGGTACTCTTCAAAATCTAATTATTTTTATTTCAGGCATAAAAATGGCAGAACCTTACTCAAGTCCATTAAAATTTGTACCGGAAAAGAAGCAGCGGCTGTCCACAAATTGGGAGAAATGTGTGATATGTCAGCAGAGCAGCAAAGAAAACTTGTTACACCAACAAAAGTGGGTATTAACAAATTATTATAAACATTATTGGTAAGGCAGGACGATGTTTTTCAGAGACCTGAATCTGAGTTTGATGACCTTACAAAATTACAAAGTATGTCTGTTAAATACCACCTGGTTGTTATCAATCATTTACAAGCAAGAAAAACATTTCCCATGTTACTTGTAAATATGATACTCAAGATTCTGCAACACATAGTACAGAAGATCAAAGTGTTTGCACCCGGGCTCAAACATCCAAGCTTACAGATTGGTCAATGTGTGTAATATGCAGTGCATGGAAGAGAGACAGCCTACATAAGGTACAGACAACAACATGTCAAAACAATCTCTATCAAGCAGCACAAGCTCGTAAAGACTTCACTATGCTTGCTAAAATTGAAGGAGAAGACCTCATTGCAACTGATGCTATTTATCACAGATCCTGCATGGCAAGTTATACAAGCAAGCATAATATCAGTGCTTCACAGAAAATGGATGTAGGAGAGAACATATTTCAGAAGGCATTTATGGCGCTGGTAAAAGAAATAGATGTTAATCTGCAACACGGACGAGCCTACAAGTTGAAAACACTGCTAGATAAATTCCATGATCTTTTACCGCATTGACACCAAGGGATACAGTGCACACAAACTGAAGCGTTGTCTTATGAATCATTATGGTGTTGAAATTGTTATTTATGCCCAGCGGGGACAGTCCAAGTCAAGTATTGTTGTCAGTAGTAGTGTCAGCTTAGGAGATGCTGTCCGAGCCTTTGCTCAACTGAAAGAGGAGTTCAACTATTATGAGATGACACTTGGTTCTGCTGAAGAACAATCAAATGTTCCAGTGAATTCTGAAAGTTTGCTTCATTCCGTCATTGGGGTGCTTAGGCAAGAAATAGCAGAGATTGAAAAACCAACTGAATACTTCACTGCTGCTGAAATCGGCTTGAAAACATCCCAAAAATTAGTACCAGAGCTTTTACAGAAGGCTTTCCTTTGGTTGCTCGGCAAAGATGCATTTGAATCTGATGATTCAAACTACCAGCCATCAGAGAAAGTACAAAGAAGAGTCTTAGCTCTTGCAGAAAGTGTTATTCATAGCAGTGATAGCAGTATAATAACCGCTCTTCATCTAGGGCTTGCAGCGCAATTGCTATGATAGCCTTCGATGCTTTTTAACAGCCCTTGGAAAGGATGAACTTAAAAGAATGCAACATCGCATATATATACCACATGGCTTAGTCTCACAGCAACATAGAGGAAAGCTTATTCAAGAAGGTGATGACAATATTTACATCAACTGTGCAACAGTTGATGGAAAGGGAACATTTCATTCCATGGCTCGTGTTGTATTTCAGGAACAAGCAATTGATAGAGATGTCATTTGCCCGGAAGACAGGGTGAAGATTGGCCAAGAGAAGTCACTGTCTCTTGACTGTGAATGACGCGAAGGCACTGAAAAATGTAATGCGCTATGACAAACCCAGGAAACGATCAGAGCCTCCTAGGCGTGATGATGCAAAGGGCAAGGTAAAATCACTTCACATTGCTGAAGCAGATATACAGGCAGCAGATCTTTCTTGGATATTTCTCAGAACAGTTCCACGTGGTAGCCTTTCTGTTCCCTCAAGTATTGACTACAGTACATCACAAATAGTGTCTTTCTGGACTGGATATAATGCATTGATGTCTCAAAAGAGTCTCACTCGCACAATTGCCACTTATGCTCCAGTTATAGATGCAAAGCCTGCTGATCCATCAACTTTCTATACAGCAATGACCAGAAGTCAAGAAATGACAAAGGCAATGGGACAACTCAGTACCATTCAAACAATGGACCAACAGCTCTATGCAGTAGCCCAACAAGTGAAATGGAGCAAAGCAGAGAACTTTCCTAATCATATAATTCGCCTGGGGGGATTTCATAGTGCATGTTGCTTCATTGCTGCAATTGGAAAGCTATGGGGGAAGTGGTGGACTGAGAGACCTGCTAGTAGATAGTGGTACATATGCCCCCAACACAGCTGACATGATGCTTGCTGGGAAGCAGTTTCACAGATCTATCCGTGGTCTTACTCTTTCATATGAGGCATTGATGCAGCAATTCTTGACTGAATTATTAAATTGGTGTAATGCTGACCAACGAAGACATATCCCAGATGAGGTGTGGCAGCAGGTTGAGAGTACCTATGTGGAGATTCAGAATGATGGTGTTCAGGATTCTGTAGATGTAGCAAATGAACTTAAGGATAAACTTACTCATCATGTTATTCTACTACTCAGGGAATTCAAACAAGAACGCTGTGTAGATTCGCCCACATTCAAATATTGGTCAATGTTGTTGGATGCAATTCAAATATTATTGAACTACATACGCAGCGAACGTGAAGGTAACTGGCCATTACATCTGTCTTCACAACTTGCAATGACACCATACTTCTTCTCTACAGACCGTACTAATTATGCACGATGAGTGCCCACATATCTTCTTGATATGATGGAACTTCCTGAAGATGTCGCTCAAGCATTCAATGGAGGCGAGTTTGCAGTTCGTCTGCGACCTGGTCATTTCAATGGTATTTGGAGTGACATGGGAACTGAATCAACTGTGATACGAGATGCCAAGAGCAATGGGGGTATTGTTGGGCTCACTCGAAAAGTACCAGCCCTTCTGCGCTGGATGCTGACTAGAACATCACTAGGAGAATATGCACAGAGTATACACGAGCAAGCAAAATATTATCAACCATCTTAAAAACAATATGACCAATCCATTTCAGCCAGATGTTCATCCAGATGGGAAACTGCTGAACATATCCAGTGGAGTCATTATTATCTGCCATCGATGCTGGTGAAAAGAAAATGTATGAATTTATTAGAAGTACCTTATCAACTGAAGGTAATCATAGCTTCTACAGTCCTCTGACCAGATCAAAAACTAAGACCTTCACTGATATGTTTCTACATAAGAGATGCAATGGCTGAACTACAGTCAATGACAGGTGGCAGCAACACATCTACATTTGGTGACCTTGCTAGCAAATATATATATATCAGTTGTTGAATTGCACACAGAAAAGCACCACTGTAATAGACGTGTTTGATCAATATGAATATAAAGACTCAATCAAAGTAGAGGAACGGAGCAGAAGGTTAGCAACAGCATGTGGAGCTAAGCAATATCAGGTGATGGCTGGACGCCCACTTCCACCATGGCCAAAGTTTATGGCACTCACATCAAATAAATCTGCATTGACTGACTTCCTGTGCAAGTACATAACTGAATATGCACCAAGAACACCAAAACTAGCTGTACACCAAGAACGCAAGGTCTATCTTGCAGGTGGGTTTAGTGATGGGGAGAAAACTGTCTGTATCTCTAGTCAAGGTGTAACACCAGTGGAGGATCTGTTCTGTTCGCACGAGGAGGCTGATACGAGGATGATGTTTCATGCTATGAAAGCAGATGAAGAATTTTCTGCTGCCAATATCCAAGGAAGCATTGTCGTGAAGTCAGCTGACACAGATGTCCTAGTGCTTGCTGTACACTATTATCCTCAGATGCAAAGTACATCGTCTTTCTGGATAGAAACAGGAAAAGCTACTACTACTGCAAATCTTCATCGCCACATTCCTGTTCATAACATATGCAATAAATTAGGCCATATGGTTCATAGTCTGCTTGACGGGATGCGATACCGTCTCATCATTATGTGGAATAGAAAAAAAGAAAATGTGGAAAACTTTCTTGTCATTGGAGAAAAAAGGTTCAATTCCATCTATGGTAATTTGGGTACACGGTACAAGCCAAACATGCAGCCAGGCAGTTTGTTGCCGCTCTATATGATCCAAACGAAGTATATAAAGGTGAACATCTGCATCTGCAGAAATATTAGATGATCTTCTGTGCTCATGCTGCGGATGACGACAATGCAGTAACAACTGTAGTTGTGCAAAGAATTGTATGCCATGTACAGACGAATGCATCTGCAAGGCGGCAGATGGATGTATGAATGAACACACCCATCTTGAACCAGTGCTAGATGAGGTTGATGAATAACCAAATTATATTATTATCTTTTATATACTGTTAGTTTATTATGGAGATCCTCCACGGACATATATGAGGTTTTGTAATATAAAGATAGTCCAGACTTTGGATAGAAAGATTCTTTTAAGGAATGAGGTTTGCTAACTTCGGAACTGACATCAGTAAAAAATTTAGTAGATTTTGTATTATGTGTCTTAATTTTTGTATTAACCTCAATACTGATCCTTTTGTACAGTTAATTATCCAGTGTACCATTATTATACATGCACAGCAAGCATGCCACTATAATTCTGTTTTAAAGCTGAACGTTAAACCCTTACGCTGGCATCAGTTTAGAAGCCTGTATAATCAATATAGATGCATTTAACTAATTTGTAGTTTATAATTTTAGCACAGAATTCATTTAGTACCCCCATGGTTCTATTATTAAGGTTTCAAGTATCAAGATACCAACACTTATTGTACCCAAAAACAAATAATTTGGAATGTTCTGCAAGCAAGGTACATTTTTGGGGGTTTCAGAGCTTTCAGAAAATATATAACTTCATGGGCATTAAACGTTATTTCCCCTGTTAATTATGTCTTAAACAATCCAGTTGTTACGTGTAATTTGAAAACATTAATTACATGTTTACCTGTACATAGCTTAAGTTAATGGCTGATTTTTCCACTTTGAACACTCAGAATTGAGGACAACATGCCAAACTTATACAACCATATAGTAAAGAACATTTTAGGACATGTTGTACATTTCTGTACAGGTGGGAGATTAAACTCCTAAAATAAGGCCCATTTTCAGGGTTAACCGCTCGCCTATTAGACCTTAAATGCATCTCAGGGAACTAAAATCAAAGTACATGAACACGATGTTCATGGCAAAAAATAAATTCTGAAGTTTAAGTGAAAACGTTTGAATGAACCTGATCGCAATAGCACCTGGGAGTGTATAAAGACAGATACTCACTAATCAGATTGCCCGTACCGATATCATCAACTGTGTTTGCTTAATACTCGTGCTTGAACTTACGACCTCTAATGACATGAGCTGTCTTTCTCAACATGTTATGATCACGCCCTCTGTTGGTCGGACTGTACACGTAATAAGAATCACACTGTTCGTTCACCACCGATACGACAGTGGTGTTTTTTGTAGTGTCTCATACGGATCAATTATTATTTTTAGTTTCGTTCATTTGTCAAATATTATTGCACGCTGTTGGTAGACTTGCTAAGGGCAAAAAAAGGGATGATCGCTGCATTTATTAGTACAAATGTCTCACTTGGCACAGATGTTCCTTGGGACAATTGTAAAATTTTCATTCAAAGAGACACTCTGTATTTATGCAAATAAGGCCTAATTTGCATAATTTATGCAAATTAATTAGAAAATTACCAAAATAATATTAAAAAATATATATTCATCCAAAACAAATGTCTATCTTGGTATAAACTTTCTATGGAGCAAGTAGAAAAGTATTATGCAAAATAAATATGTGGATTTTATGTATTTTTCTCTTATTGTCACATGCACAGTATTGATTTCAAAATAACCATTTATTCATTTAAACTAAATTGTCATTATAATAAAACCCTGTGTGATATTTGAATAAAATGGGTTCATTATTAAAATGACTTCTTGTTGTCTTTTGCATAAATCAATTCTCGTCTATGTGTTTTATAATGGCGTATAATTAAAGTTTATTAATTAGAACTATCGGTCTTTATAGGGACATGGCCCCAGAATGAATCTTGATTTCTGTTGTTGCTCATTGTATATATGTGTATAGCAATTTTGATTCATTTTTGATGCCATGAGAACCACATTTTGGGTTACACACGGGGTTTGTGTTTTATTTTGTTCGTGTGATCGACTGTTTTATTTACGTTTTTTGCACTTGTTAAATGACTTTAATTTGATCGCGAAAACAATACTGAACATTCTTCTGTAACTTTCTAGGATAATATTGGATCGCATAGAATCATATCAAAGTTTTGTTTTACAATTGATAATGAACAGACGTTAAAGGAAAGCCAAGGTACGTGACGTGTGTAGCCTGTAGGATATATAGTTGCAATGAAATCGACGGACCATTGCAATCTTATTTTGATATAGAAGATGCGTTTTCATTCTTCTTACACCATATGATAACATCTTTGCGTCACTTACTCATTGTTATTAAAGAAATGACATAATTCACAAATATATTCAATAAGAAAAACAAATTATCATTAACTATTCTCGATGCCGAAAGCAATGAACATTACTGCTCTGCAATATGACGTCATATCCTTTGCAGTACGGCGTCATCCTGTGAACTGAAATAAAATAATACATATTATAATGTAAAATATTATAATGTAAAAGAGATCAGAACATATTAATAATAATTATTT